AAGCGAGACCTCATTTCACAACCGTCATACCACTCATCGCGCATTGATCATCAGCATAGGTTGCCATTCCGTTTTGCCGCACCAAATTCTTTTCAGCAGCCTTCTTACCGAAAACAGCCGCCGATTGGAACCACCTTCCCTCTTCCGTGGTATCAATAACAGACCCTTTGTTATTCAAGACTGCAATTTCTCAGCAATGCTTGTAACTATACGCAGTTTCCACTATCTATCTTTGTCTTGTATGTGCTTGAATCTTATACATTTTAGTTGACTTATGTTGCCTTCCTGATTTGCGCATCTGATACTTGTTTCTTTATTTGTCTTTTTTTCTTGTGTGTTATATATGTTGTACCACCCCCTCTGTAATGCCCTACGGGCCCTGAGGGTATTCTAATAAATAAATAATAAATAAATAAATAAAACCTGCTTACAAGGAACTTCCATATAACGAATTCCGTGATATAATTAAGCCTTTCTATTCTCCGCCGTTACTCATTAGAAGCACATGTATTTGCGACCTCTGTTTAACAAGTAACAGCGAGAGACATCCTTGATATAACGAATTTTCGCCACGGACAATCCTGAAATTTCGCCACGGATTTCGTCATTTTGGCACGAGCATGCACAAATAAATAAATAATGTTTATTCATGTGACACACTCACTGAGCTCTAGGCCCCGGCGAGTCGCAGGCGAGAGAGAGCGCTCGCTAATGCGCGTGAACAACATCGTAAACCATACCAAAATCTTTTTTTTTTTCCTTTTCTCCGGTTTGCCTGGGGGTGGAGTCCGCTTTTCCTGCACATCCTTCCCCTCAAATTTCACTTGGCTCTGCCCTGTTCATTTTTCTTTTCTGATTGGAATTGCTGCTATATGTTAATGGTGCGGGCGGAGCATTTGAATTTTTTATATACATCACAATAAAAAAATGTTTCAATAGATGCCGTCATGTCCAGGAAGTTAGAGGTGGCATGCGGGCCTGCGCCCTACGAGCCAGTGTTTCCGCTGCGGGCGCATGAGCCGATGGCTCTCCACCTCCCTCAAAACCAGCCTAAGCGCTCATTGAAACTCTCCGGGACCACGGTGACAACGAAGGATCTTCGGAGGTCTACTCGCACGCGCTTCACCGTCTTGCACCACGCCGCGGTTTCACGGGCCCGTAGCATTCGTCATTGGCCGAGTAGCTCCTACAAAACGCTGATGTAAGCAAATACGGCCGCTCCAGGGAGAAGTACATGCTATATTCGCACATTTTCTTCGCGTTGAAAGCGGGCTGATGTTTGCCAAGATAGCACGCGTGCCAACGATTGCGACCGCGCACTTCACCTAAAGCTTCACCATTGATACTAGGGCGACCCCCCCCCCCCCCCCCCGCGTTTTTAATGCTTGCTAAAGACGGGTGGGTTTCTTAAATTTATATTTTAGCATTCGACGTATAGGAGGTTGCACAGGGGCGTGTCCACGAGATGGCGCTAGCGTCGAAAAAGCAGCGTATCCATCTTTGTGGTAGAGAGTACTCCATTGTGTACTAGAAGTGTTTGTGGCACGGAGGAAGGAAAGGTGGTTTGTGGCTTTCCTCCGTGGTTTGTGGTTTCTCTCCCGGCCGCCGCCGGCAAGCAGTCGTAGGTGGTGTACACTCACGGGTGCGCGTCCGTGCGAGATTCATGTGGTCATAATAGTGAACTGTGCCATATTTGGTAGCTACAAACACTCGAGTAAGAAGTGTGGTCATGAAATGCTGCTGATGTCGTTTTTTTTTCTATACCTAAAGTGATTGTAAACCAATCGAAAAGGTTTGGATGGCTCAGCCTCACACTATACCACGTGTGCGTTAAACATTTCATTTCCGGTACTACTTTAATGAATAACACTACTTTAATGAATGCCCAAACACGCAACACATTGTGACCCATTTACGTGTGCACAACAGTGACACAACACTACCCGCGCATTATTATGGGCTATTGACTAATAAACTATCTCGCGCGTACCTACTTCAGTTAGTGATCATGCGCAACTATGTTTCTATGACATCCACATGACACGCATTAGCTACCAACACTTTATCAGGACGTCGCTTCACACTCCGAATCACCTCCCTATCATAAGTTTTGCGTGAATGCTCTCGATTATAGTCGCAGTTATGCCAACAAACGATAGCACCACTGCTTCATTTTCCCTAGGTACACGAACCACAGCATCCGCAACGCTTGCGCAAGTACCTAACCCTGCCTCCCCTCCTTTTTTTTAAATCTTTTTTTTTTAAGTTTGTTACTATTGGAAATGGCGCCTTGTCTAAGTTCGCAGCGGCAAACAGGCTGCCCAAGGTTTCCTGTAGCATCGCTGGTTGGAACGACGTGCCTGGCTACACGGCTCCTGGTGAAGAAATAGGCTTCGACATCACAGAGGCCGCTGCTACCATCCTTGTCAACGTTTACCCACTTTCAAGACCACTGGCCCGCATCCCACTTCGTCGTTTTGTTTGGACTTTCCGCATTCAACGACAACCCATTTAAAATAAACATGCAGAAACACACACACACACACACACACACACACACACAACACACACACACACACACACACACACGCACGCACACACACAGACACGAACCCCAAAAACTCAAGTTAGGGAAATACACTGCTGCTGCATGTCGACCTGGTCATTCCTGAGAAGCTAACTAGCTTCTTTATTGCACTTTCACACCGCACTCACTAGGTCTACCCATGTCAATTTTTTAAAACTAATTGGCTTTTCAAAAAAAAAAAAGAACTTGGGAAATTTCCCCTCTTCAGTTATGTTAGATTGGCTTGAGCCCGTTATACCTCCTGGTGGTACTGGCTACCCCCCTTTTTTCCTTTCAGTTTTTTACAAATATAGGGGGGATGTATCGTATGCGTAGAGATGGGCCGGCTCATTCGATCTCTGCTTCAGCAGCGCTCCTGCGAATCAACCTCTAAAAGTTACGACGCGCGGGGCATGTTCTCTATTTGGACTTGTCACGGAACATGGCGGCGACGGCAAAAGCCCGCCGAGAGCGCCAAAGAATTGCTATTGCAATAATAACGCAGTTTTTTTACCGCTAATAATTGTTTTGGTTATCTCTGCTTCAGTTACCTTTTTGTTAAATTGGTACGTAAATTTTCGAATTTTCAGGGAATGAGTTAATTTCGTTTTTCCAGGTTTTAACTCTAGTCCCAAATCTGGTTTGGATACCCTAAGGACATCTTGCAGTCTCACGAAGGACAATGTTTCATGCAAAACCCCCACTGCAGTTGCCGATTCAGTCACGGATAAAACCCCAATTCCTACGCATTACAGAGGCCCTGCAACAATATTTAAGTAAAGAGAACGCTGCAGACCGGTACTCCAGGCTCCGGAGCTGCCTCGAATTGACAGTTTTCAAAGTCGGCTAGAAATGGCTTCGAATTTTCGAATTGTCATACAGCCAAATGAGCACGCCATATACCACTATTTTTGTGCCATGGCCGATTTGAGCACTGCGAAATGCACTCGCAATGCCCAAGGTCGCCGAGAAATATCACCACGATGCTCGCACTCACACTGTAAGTAATGAGCACATTCGAAAAAAAAAAACGAACAATAAAAGCGCTGACGGTCATGACCTGCACGTGACATCTTCCCCCTGTGCCATCCCTCCTTGCCCAGCTTCCAGTGTACACGTGAGGACGAAAGAAAGAAAGCAATTACAGCGTACTGTTAATGGAACTTCGCACCTAGGAGACCAACTCTAAAAGACTTTTGTGGCCATCAATTAGTCAGGCGCTAAACCAATACTTGAATCCTTTAACAAAGCAATTTGATGGCTTCTAGAAAAATTTAAGGCCTTCTATATATGATGAAATTTTTGACTACATAACAGAAAAAAAATACTTTATCCCATCACACCATGGTTTGTGGAATTAAAAGGCAACCTTTCCAATGTGCGATGGAACGGAATCATGATAAGCCCCACTTTAGTCCACCATTTTTTATTTATCGACATTTTTTTTCTGAAAACAATGTGTTGCACTAGCACAGAAAAAAAAAAGAACAAAACAAGGCTTGAAAGCATCAATGTCACCACACAAGAGTGAACGAAGTACAACAAACAGCCTTACACCAGCCACATGCCCATAGAAAGCAAACAGTGAACATGCTTGCAAACAAGCCTACATCCACAAAAGGTTCCTTCTCAAACAGAGAGGTAAACCTGTTAAACAGACAACAGTGGCAGAGAAAAAAAATAGAGACATGCTCACGACAAGACTGTACTACCTAATATAGGTTGTACAAAAATGCTTTTCCAGCCAATGCTTCTCTCACTATATCAACATACAAAAAAAATAAGTGCCCACTAATTCCTTACTGTGCTGCTAAAGGTTTTGCATTTCACAACATTCGATGAAGCTCTGTGCAGGATCTGCTGACAGCACTTACCATAGTAGCATAGATGCATTAACGTAAAGTGAAATGCGGGAGAATGTAGGCAGGAAAAGCAGCATAGGTGAAGGCAACCCGTCACAGCGCTTCTAAACAAAAACTGCGCTGAAATCTTCTTGCCATGACCAACTACGCTGAATGGACCTGGAAAAAGAGCCTCTGAACCAACTGAAGTGTCTTGTGACACAAGTGGCTTTCATTTCTAACGCATTGTTGCATAATCGCAGCCTCTGCTTTTCCCATCCACATCACCTGGTGTAGCAGCATGAGCGTGTGCAAGTACACCGAAGCAATGATAAAACAATTCACAAAGCTGTTTCAACCGTGGCCCTTTCAAGGTGGGTTTAAGGCCAACACATGCCTCAGTGAATTACCGCAACACTTGCCTATGATTCATGCGCTACAAATGTACCAACCACTCGGCTTGTTGTACAAATGCTTTCTAAAATAGGCTGAGATGGCGGTACCAAAGCCACTGATCAAACAGTCCACACATGCATGCAATGTGCCCTCACAGAGCATTTAAAGAGACAATGCTGGTGCATTTGCACTATCTGATACCAAAACTATCTCGAAGAGCCAGGCGACTTGGAGCCCAATGCAGAAGGGCCTTACATATGCCAAGTGGCTTTATTTCATTCATGCTAGCACTTTATTTAAGAGAACAGAGTGGCATGAACATACATACTTTGAAGATTCAGCGACTCTTCTAAACAAAAAAAAAAAGCAGCACAGTCTGAAAAAAAAAAGTGACAAAGACAACAGTGAACAGTCAATTGTAGTGTTCTCAGAGTTCACCACCATGACTTCTACTTCTGTACAAATACTCTCGATGAAACGAAGTCGTGCAGGCACAAATTAGAGCAATGACTAGATGCCAGCATCCCTTTCAGTACACCAGTACAAACGCAAAGGCACCCGGAACTAAACTCTTCGAACACTTCAGACGGGGAACTTAGATGCAATGTGCAAACAGGTACTGTGCTTCTATGACACTGCATCACACGTTGCCTTAATGAAGCCTAACGAAGCTCCAGCCTTTTTTTATAAAATTCTGAACATCTCAGAAGCCATGAAAATATGGTAAGCTACCTAACAGGCCTTTTGCATCAGGATGTTCTGTAACAAACTGCATGAAAAAGCTACAACTCAAACTGGCACGGAAAAAAAAACACAACATATAATTGTGTCGTGCATGCGAAATCACTCATAGCACGACGATTTCCAATTTATCAATGAGGCAGTGCCACGAAGGTAAAAAGGCAAATTACAATGATCCATGCATACACACACAACTGTAACTCCCAACCCCTGCAACCACGAACATTTAAACGGATTGGAAGCAAGGTCTCACCCAAGAGAGAGAAAAAAAAAGATGCGTTTCTTTTTCGTATCAAGGACAAGTCACTGTGATGCGCAGAGCAAATGCGCCAGGGACGTGGCATCCATAAAAAAAGGGAGTGAAGAATCAACCACTTTGCAAGAGAGTTCTTTTGATGCACACAAAAGGAAGGTGGTTGCAGGTCAGGCACGTTGAACCACCAGAAGCTGTCTATGTAATCCTGTCCTTCCTAAAAGGCCAAGCGTGGGGAAAGGAGTCCAGGGAATCCGCAACACTGCGGGAAGTGGGAGATGTTTTGCCACGGGTCACGACTTGCAAACATGCTCGTCTATGGTCTATGTCCCGGATTTCGTCAGCCTACTTGTCCTGCACAGCCAACGTTTGCTTCCCACTCACTAAAGCTGGATAATGACGTATCACTTGGGTGCTTTATTTATCTTCATAGACGTGCTGTAAAAAATAGATTCAGAGAGCATGAAAAAAGATGACCCCAAGGCAGATATAAACAAGCATAATGAACATCTGCTTAAAATTTAAATTGATGACTTCTAGTGACAATGAAAGCTGGTGACTTTTTTCCAGACATGCATGCATTGCAAGACCAGTGTCTACATTCTAGATACGCTTTACATCACTGCACGTGAAGCCAGATTATGTATTTCAAATTGTCATACATAGCTGGCTGTTCCTCGCACAATCGCTTAGTTTCGGAGGTCTCAAATACACCGATTTCAGGAATGCACCCTTTATAAACTGGAGCAGTACACGCAGCTAGCTAACAAACTCTTACTCAGAGTGAACTCACCTTTTTCGCTACTCGAATTCATTTTGACGATATGAATTTTGGGTGAAATCAATATTTTATGCTACGCGACGAAATTTGTGTCACTGAGGATAACAAGAGAGTTGACCTACTCGGTGAGTAGTCTCTCTGCTTGTTATGCAACATCAGTAACAGTGACAATGCACAATGAACATTGCACGGCAACCACTGTAATGCCATGTCAAACATTTGTTAAGCAAGTGCACATGCCTCTGTACCCTACAGCAAAGGTGAAATAGAGAGCCAATATGCATACCTTCTTTAGCTGCCAAGGAGCTCTTGTTAGGACGTGTGTTCAACTTCGGTGACAGTGATACCACTTTGCTCTAGGTGGGCCTTCAGAAGCTGATTGGTGGCCCTGAGCTGTTCACACTGTTGTCGCAGCAAATCCAAATCCAAAGCCAGCCGCTCGTTCTCCTTCAGTACCTCGGGCAGTCGTGCACAGCTTGCACGCAATTCCTGAATGTAGTCACAGGCCTTTGCCAGGATACCGCCCTTGCTGTGAAGGTGTACGGACGATGGCTGCGTTGAAAAAGAAGAACTTCGATTGTATGGGAATACTTGCAACCACTGTGTTTGATTCTGCTCCATAGCAAATGCCGGCCCTTTTTTAAAGAGGCACTAAAGGCAAATAGCACTTTGTGTCAGAGTGAAAGCTCAAACTATGACGTTTAAGGGGAGATGCTACTCGAAAAACGATTTTCTTTAATAAGAGTCTGAATTTAACACAAATTGGCATGCTAATAGAGTTTTTTCTCCTCTTTTCAAATATGTCATTTATTTTCATGTAGATTGCTTGGTTTTCTTTCTGCAGGTCAGATACTGCAAAATTATGGCCATTGTTATGCAACAATTCTGACCTATAAAAATTTGAGATGCAGATATAGCTGACTATGATCCTTTGGAACTGTAGAGTGCAAAAAACTGTATAATTTTTGTGTAAAAAGGTGAAATACAATAATAAAATAAAAATTTACTATGGTCTAGTTGCCAAGGGCTTTCAATGTTATGTAATTTTTGAAAAACATAATCAAGCAGCACTGACAATCTGAATAGATACTTGCACTCTATGGGCCTTCATCATGATATGTGCAAAATTTCATAGAGGTATAACAATTCTAAGTATACGAACTAGTGTGTATAAGAAGCACCGATCACACAAAACTGCAAGAGGAGAAAAACGCACTTGAAAGTCTGAAACCTTTTTTTTTTATCACAGAGTTGTTAGAAATGCATAGTTTTTGGCCATAATGTTCAACAGAACTTGAAAAGCACTGCAAGTTACTAGAACTGTCCTGCTGCATAGGTTGTGCCCTCACGGTTCTTGCGAGCACTCTCTTCTAGCCGTGCCCTTTTCACTCCACGACGACGGTGGGCCCGTGCTTCTGCTGTCAGACGCTCGGACATTCTCTTGATGCCCCTCGCGTCGCGGGAATCACTGAAAGTAACTAGATCTCTAGATGGCAGTATGTTGAGCTCTTCCAGGATGTGCTCGAAAGTAGCATGACCCTTGTGGAAGTACGAAGCCCATACTGTAGTGTACATATCCCGTACACTCCCCCTGTTGCTTGTTGTGGCAATCTGATAGTATGTTTGGAGCTTCTGAATGGCTGGCTCTTTCATTTTCTGCCCTCGTGGTAATGGCACATGCAGCTTCCGTAGCGCGGTGCCAAGTCTCTTGGCCACATGATTAGTGCAGTCTTCTTTTTCTATATTGACAGCACCATAGACTTTTGACTCTGCAACTGCACTATATGCTTTGGTGTCACCGTCACTCAAGAATGTCATGAAATGCAGTGGGGTGTCATAAGTAAATGTTCTCTGCCAAATGCGCATTGCAGCCTCCGTTTCTATGGCATGGGAGGAACAGTTTGCATTTTTTTCACAGACTGGGCCATGGAATGCCTGCCACACTTCCTCGTCTGGGCCCATATCCTTGTGCCTACTGCATGTCAGGCAGTAATTTGATATGACCTCGAAGTCTAAGCAGAGGCCAGTATCTAAGGAGATAACTGCGCCAATCTCGTTGTGGCTTTTGTGGGCCCTCTTCTGCCAAGTGCCGTCGAACATAACAGCCACATCAGTTTCGCCTGCTAATTCTTTCGTCAACTCTCTGGATCGGCGCAAGTTTTCACTCACAGCTGCCATGACAATGGTGTGCACCTTCTTTGCTATCGAAAAAAATCCTCGGCGGTGCATTGGCTTTGGGAGTCCAATAATGGAGCAAAATCTCGACGATTGCTCATGCCCAATGCCGACAGCGCTTGCAGCCACCACCGCCTTCACATTTACAGCGAAACTATCTCGGGAGCTCCCACTGTCGTACCGTTGGCTCACTCGGCTGCTGCCGTCCGCCGTAACACGCAGTGACGTATAGGAGCACGAAAGAACAGTTGCTGAGCATTCGCTGTTTTCGCAATGAAGTTCAAAGAGCGACGAAAGTCCCTTGCGCTTTTCTGCCGGCTCCCGAACGCCAAGTTTTTGAATACCGCAAGCAGGGCATGCCACACCTGCCACAAGTGCCGTCAACAAGAGGGTGTCGCACAAAACTGTCGTTGCACAAACCTCATTGCGCTGTCTTTCGTTTTTTTGAAGAAGCCGAGCTTCTTTTCCGAAGCACTGACGAAAGAAAGCGCAGCGTCAATCCCTTCATCGCAGTCACTGTCGCTCGCGCACTCGTCGATGCCGCCGTCAGGCCTAGCACGCGTAGGCGCATTCTCGTTCATCGCCGTCATTCGGGGCGCTTTACGCCGCCTTCCCTTGAACTTGTGCTTCGTTCGAAACTTCTGCGGTCTCACGTTGCACTTTTTCGGGCTTGTCATCGCGGAAATATGCGTAGACGCGCAGAAAATCAGACGGACCAAATGCCGATGGCCGCCACCAACACAGCTGAGAATGACTCGGTGGCCAATGGCGATGCGGCTTAGGGTGCCGCGTGTTTCAAACCGCTCAAACCCTGTGATAAAAGGCCTCGTTTTTTATTTTTTTGCCCACGTACGAAACTTGGGGTCGTCGGAGCTGTAATAAGAAGGCCGGACGCAACTTTCCCAACGATCGCGATGGCGGGCGGCACTGCGACAGGGAGCAGCGCGCAGTCAAAGATGGCCAATATTGGCGAAAATTCACGAAATTTTGAGCCACCGCGATGCCTTCATACGCATTTTTTTGCATTTTGCGGTTCGAATTTAGTTTTGAAATTTTCACAGATGAAAGAAGAAGGTTTGAAGATTACAATGCAATAAAAATCAGAAATACGAGAAATTTCGCTAAAAACGCGATTTTTCGACTCGCATCTCCCCTTAAGACGACAACATTATGAAGAGCAGTGCCTCACTTACTAAGCAATTACGCCAAATGTGTCACACGACGTGCACCCCGAGTGGGACACTTCTGAAATTATCCAAATGACGTGAGAGCATACGGCTCCAATTAATCACTAGTAATCGAACAAGCAGCATATAAAAAAGTCCGTTCCGTACATCAGGAGACGTAATAAAATGCTGCTTGTCCGTTTTGTTTGATTTATACAAAAAAGAAAAAGAAACACCTGGCTTTACTATGAGGAATGGCACCAGTGGTTCAAAAGTCCAGTTTTTGGCTGGTTAGGTTGTGGCATCTAGCAGGGCCCAGTTAAACAAAGCAAGCAGAACCACAACTGCCATTTCAATAATCAGCATCGACTTAATATTTACTATTAGTATACCTTTAACACCTGTTTTGTAGTTATCTATATGTCTTCTAACTACTGCTCAAAACTGATTTACATAGTTCAAAGCCAGCACCGTAATGAATTATGTGATACTAGGAGTAGCCAACACAAGCCAAGCCAGTAAGTTAGGCAACTGCAAAAGCAATGCAACAGCTTAGCAGCTTCACAGAAAAGCTGTAACAAATTAAATGTTAATGATGATCTGAACCACAAAGTGAATGGGGAAGTTACCATACTCAATGGAAACAATCATAAAGAGTGCTCTACGTTAGCAATTTCATGTCTTTCATGCACCATTCCTCTGCGCACACTCGTTCCCGTCTATTTTAGTAATTCACTGGGAAAAAAGACTGTGCACATTGAGCCTCTTCATTGTCCCAGACTCGCATTAGATTGTACTGCTAGTATGTTGCGTGGGCGCAGGCAAAGCAGGGTTGTAATTTGAGCTTGCTTATACATACTGTCACCAAAAAATAGCGCTGGATCAACAAGGACACAATACGATGCACAACAAAGCGGGGGTGGGACAGGGTACATGGGTTTGGGAGCGGTCCTAGGAGCGGGCACAAGTGCCTTCCATAACAGGCGTGAAGCATTCGAAAAGACAGATTGGAGGAGGCTTGGAGCAGTCGTAAAAGGCCTTTTTAGGCGAGTTACACAAGCGTTTAAAGTGTTTTGAAACTCTTTCAAGACTTTGAAGAGCCTCACTTTGTGTAACATTACTATATGCAGCTGTATTTATTCAGCTGTATTTGCATTCGATGCTTACCCCTTGTGGTTAACTGCGACATTTTTAGCTATGTAGAGCTGTTCATTCTTAAGGGGAGATGCTACTCAAAAACGATTTTCTTTAATAAGAGTCTGAATTTAACACAAATTGGCATGCTAATAGAGTTTCTTCTCCTCTCTTCAAATATGTCATTTATTTTCATGTAGATTGCTTGGTTTTCTTTCTGCAGGTCAGATACTGCAAAATTATGGCCATTGTTATGCAACAATTCTGACCTATAAAAATTTGAGGTAAAGCATGCAGATATAGCTGACTATGATCCTTTGGAACTGTAGAGTGCAAAAAACTATATAAATTTTGTTTGTAAAAAGGTGAAATACAATAATAAAATAGAAAAATTTACTATGGCTCTAGTTGACAAGGGCTTTCGCTGTTATGTAATTTTTGAAAAACATAATCAAGCAGCACTGACAATCTGAATAGATACTTGCACTCTATGGGCCTTCATCATGATATGTGCAAAATTTCATAGAGGTATCACAATTCTAAGTATACGAACTAGCATGTATAAGAAGCACAGATCACACAAAACTGCAAAAGGAGAAAAATGCATTTGAAAGTTTGAAACTTTTTTTTTTTCACAGAGTTGTTAGAAATGCATAATCTTTGGCCATAATGTTTAACAGAACTTTGAAAAGCACTGCAAGTTACTAGAACTGTCCTGCAGCATAGGTTGTGCCCTCACGGTCCTTGCGAGCACTCTCTTCTAGCCGTGCCCTTTTCACTCCACGACGACGGTAAGCCCTTGCTTCTGCTGTCAGACGCTCGGACATTCTCTTGATGCGCCTCGCATCGCGGGAATCAAAGTAACTAGATCTTTAGATGGCAGTATGTTGAGCTCTTTCAGGATGTGCTCGAAAGTAGCATGACCCTTGTTGAACCACGGGATTGCCATAGCTGCGGCAGTCTCGACAAACGTTCGGGAGACAAACTTAGTCTTGGGGCAAAGTAGCCAAATTTTGCTGTTCAGGGATTCCGATGCGTTCTGGGTTTTCCCTTTGATGCATTGAGCAAGGAGCTTCT